TTTCTTAAATTTTATATTTGGCTACTATGAGTCTTGATGTTATAAATCGGGCACTGCTACTTGGCGAAAAAAAAGAATTCAAGCACGGAAATGATTACACATGTGATGAACTTAATACAGTAAAAAAGCGCACAAAACCAGGCTTCTATTAAGACAAGTGGCGTAGCCCTCAAAAATCAATGTCGATGTTTGATTCTTCTCTGACGCAAGTCAAACATAGAAACCACGTTCCTATACACCCATAATAAACCCACGAAACAATAACCAATAAAGAGCACTGAATATGATATTTCCTCGCTATTTTCCTGCTCGCGTCCACAAATGTAAACACTGCTATAAATGAAACCATCCAATGGACATCTCGGAGGCGGGTAACTAATACCTGCACTCAAACATTACGCACGTGGCAGGATAGTATAGCGAATAACTCGCAAAATTCAACAGAAAGTCCCAAAACATGTAAGATAGACTTATACTATAACGCATGGGCAAGTACGGAATACTAAATATGAAAACAATAATCAAGCATTTCAAATGAGACAACAAAGCATCAGATAACATAACAGAATAGAAGCCCTGCCGGTAATCTTTCAGGACCAACGCAAACAAAAGCGCCATTAAATGAGCCCCGACACGAAAACCACATAAGGGTACCACTTCTTTACAATAAGAGAACGATAGCAACAGCATGACCTGAAATCAGACGTGCCAACGCAGATGCTTGATCCATGCTAATTGCAAATCCCACAGCTGTTTTTGTCCAATGACGCAGCACAAGAATACAAAGTTCAGGATTGAACATACACAAAAAAGCCCTCTGGTGTTTTAATTGTATAAAGTGATCCAGCCTGTTGGATAATCAGTTTAAATAGAGGGGTGGACCAACGCTACGCCGTTAACAACACTATACGAGGTATGACAAATCAAATCAACGTCAACAACACAAGTATATTCCATCCAAGACTGATGATATTTGAAAATATCTGAGGTGAACATCGCTAACACATATGACTAACATACGAGAGCAAGAAAAGTCGGAAAACAAGGCGGTTGCGAACTTGACCCATAGCTCCGTACAGTACCGTATGCAGGTTGTTTTCGAATAATAAATAACAATATTGAATCATTGCTAACAACAATAGGTTATATAGTTTAACAAGAACCAGACTTTTTACTTTAATTGTACAGCCCAAACTCAGTGTAATAATTTTAATAATTATAGTTGGCGGATTCATACGGTCGTTGTCGCTATAGCAGGTCCGTGTAATTCACAGCAGTAAAACGCACCAGTATTAGAAATGGAAAGATATAATAAAACACGTAAATTAAAAAAAATGAAAGCGGTTTCTTTGCTATCTATAACTAGTTAAAAAAAGCCTAAAAATTGAACATTGGTTATCAATAGTACGTGTAAATAAGCAATGAATGGTGACCATTTTCCAAAAAGCTTGTTGTCTTTTTAATATAACGACTGGAGAACCCTGCATCAGGAAACTTAGAGGGAAAGGACTCTTCAAGCTTAGAAAAACTCAAATTAAACATGCAATTTAATATCACAAAATGGCTTGCCTTGCGTTTAAAAACGGTAAGAATTCAAGAAAACACAGTACAGTTTCTCCTCTTTTAATTTATAAAGGGCGATGAAAAACTTTTTATCGCAAAATGATAATAATGTAGAGCAAGCCATGTTAAACTGAATCATCAATTATCACAGGGATTGCACGGAAAATAAGAGGATAAATAATAAAATCAACAAAATTATTTGACGCAAAACAGTAAAAATCTAAACACAACAGCAATAAAGTAATCTGGGCAGATTATTTCCCACATGGACTCTGAACTAGTACAAAGGCTTTGGGTTGTTAAGAAAAAAGTGTCTCTAAAGAGGTTAAATCTCTTTTAAAATATTACTCCAAGAACAAAAAATAAAACTGTTGTTGTACCGAGGTACTTGCTGTAAGAAGGGCCACGTTCTGCAGAGTTACACTTGTACATCAGAAGTATATAGAATAATTGTAAACATTTCTTGGGGAAAAAATAAGTCAAATACCATTCTTATATATCTGTAAGATCTGTTTGGAAGCGAATATTTGAAATGTATTTAATTTAACATGATATTTAATAAACAAAAGTATTTAGGACACTGAAACAAATATAACAAGCAGAGTCATATGCTGAACATTACTTTTATGACAAAAACTAAGAGGAATACATAAATTACATAAATATAAGCATCTCTTACTCTTTCGAAAGTTTTAGATGACGTTCCTCTTTCCATGATGTTTCGATTCGTTTTTTTGTTTGTTTTTTTTTTCATTTTTTTCTTTTCATTTTCCTATTTTATTATTTAGAAACATTTGTAAGGCATGAATCGTTTTCCTAGTCAATTAATGATGATCACTAGTCTTTAAAACATGAATGGGGAAACTGTTACAGTACATAAACATTAATGAGCTGCCCACGACTCTCATGTAAACAAATATTCATCACAATTGTACCAACACAAACTGGCTCAACACATCCTGATTAATCCTGAGAACAAAACATAGAAAATAAACATTAAAATAAGATCTTAAGTAGGTTAAGTATCAAATGAAAGATATGCAATCCATGTGTACGCGTATAAACGTAATCTCACACCAACCTATTCCAAAACCTATTCATATCTGTTATTTACTGAAGTGACTAATCCTGAAACTTGTGTGCATTAAAAGCTTTGGTTCTGACAGACAGTTCTAATTTTTCAAATGAAACCCGTGCATAGGAACAAATATTTTACATAACATATTTATTACTTAGCGTAATTTTCATAACAAATGCTGCTATTACTTTAAGTCCCCATAGATACACCATTAACTATTTGTGAAAATGAATATAATAGACAAAAAATATCTTAAAGCAGGTAACTGCATTGTGTAGGACTTCATGTCATGTATAGTCATATAACAATCACTTCCATGGACTAAACTAAACTAGTTAGAATTTTACGAGATAGCTTGAAGGGGTTTTGAGAATTAGGTTCTTTATTTTAAGAGGCCATGTAGTTTAAAAACAGAGGGTTGTGCTATTCCAATTGGAAACGAGCTCTGAAGTTGAATTCAGTCAAATTTTTACAGAAAGTTACTAAAGATAAAGTGTACATATGTAAAGAATTTTTATAAAGATATATTTTTATTCACATTATAAACTTCTTGAATGCTTAGAGTTGAGAACTGGTATCCACGATTATATAAAGCAAAGTGGAAAACAACTTCAAAAACAGTTTCAACAACCAATTTCTTAAAAACGTTAAATTATAGAATCCAAAAATTTTTTCTTTCTTGGGAAAATACAACTAAAACAATGATTATGGCGTGTTTAAAAAACAGTGCACTGGGGCAGTAACCATAAGACAAAACGGAATGTGACACGGTTAAAATCAAATACACATATGTATAAGTGCTTAAAAACAAATAACGAGATGGCAATTTCAAACAACACTATTTTTGAAACAATACACAAAATTATAACATGATTTAAAAAAAAACTGAATTAGTGCAGTTGAAAAAACAATACACCGCATTATCACATGGAAAAAAAACAATACAATAAGACGTGCCACTGTTTAACAATACCTAAGCTGCTGAACATAGCCGCATCAAAGTGGTCGCAACCAGCCAGAGTGTCTCGTCACTTCTGCGTCGCAATCAGACGAGCACACATGGAACGGCTCTTCTAGCACGTACGAGCAAATGACGCGCAACGTCAACCAACCCACAGACAACTAAATATTCAAATTCGTCATGTAACATGGTAATGAAATAATTATGTATACTATATCAATTCACATAAATAAAACGGTCTGTCAGAAAATTCATTAAAGCAACAAAGAGAGCAAGCAAAGCGGAGAAGATAATAGATAATTTAGTATATTCGGCACGAATAAGAAACTGTGATCACGTCTGACAGAGATAAGGATATGACAATCAAAATGTTTATATCGTGGTACAATTATTAAAAAGGCATTTTCCTAATTGCTTTCCCAAGATATACGAAATCATTTTAAAACCGGCTAAAACATAACAGGTAACAAAAGTCATTTTTTTGAAAACTTAATATGTACGAAAGTATTACGTTCCATTTCCGCTATACCCACAGACTGGAACAATACAATAACACTACTTTGATAAGAATCAAAACGTAAAGAAGTTTTCTAGCCAATGATATCAGATTTTATCTAAAAGAATAAAACAGCAAAGCGAGTCAGAAATAAACAAATTTCCATGGTAGGCGTTCATAAGGACAAGCAAATCTAAGCCTTTTGGCCTCCAGCATAAAAAATGATGCACATACAGAGTAAAAATTAATTTCAAACATTCCGCGCAACTAACTTGTTACCTTCTTGAGAACCGCGTAAAATAGTATAAAATTTGCTTTCCTAATGCTAGAAACTCTCTTGAAATGTTAGGGAGTTTGAATGACTTTTTGTTAGATTGAAAAAGGTTACCATTCTTCGGGGGGAATAGTAAGCTCCAAGGTTGAAAATCATCGCCATTTGAAGGATACGTCTGATGAATATAATTATCTAAATCATCCCTTTAAACGAAGCCTAATGTTAATTTCCTTTGGGGTTTGTAACAAACTTTTCAGTATAAACTTAGTTGAAAATAATATGTTGCTGAGTTGCAATGAGAATGAAATCTACTTGCAATTGAAGTGAACAGTTTTCGACGGAGTGAGCAGTCCCCAACATTAGCAATAGACTTTCTAAAGTAGGTGCAAAAAGCACCTAAAGAATGAAAAGTAAGTAATATGTATTTAAAATGAAGTGCAGTTTATTGCTTACAACGAGCGTGCAAACACCAAGGTTAACTTTAGTAACTGGAAATGAAAATGAAAAACAGGAGCAATGACCACTCAAGTCGAAAGCAGTGAAAGCCGATTAATACCAAAATAAGCAAAAGTAAAAAAAAACACATTGAATTCATATTAAAGTTCTACAAACGCAAAAAATACATCAATCACTCATCGTAATTAGCTCCCAGTTGAAACAGACCCAGTTCATTACGACCCGACGCCGGACATGCCCACTGGAACACTGTGTCAACTACCAGACATCCCCAGTGCACACTCTCCCATAATTGAGCAGGGTTATCACAGTTCCTCGTTCTGACCGAATGTCCGGTTCCGCATGTAACACTGCACGGGGCAGCAACTGACCATGCACCCCAGTTTCCATCAACTGGTACTGTTTTCGGGATAGAAATATATGTATAGCATTAAAGCTATAAATAGATAATATCAAAATTCAATTTAGATTTTTATACTTTACATGTTGAAATATGTTATATTATGCTAATCGATACAAGAGTATGATGGAACATGAAAATAGAAATCACAATTAATACAATGAGTTATTGTTTGTTGACGGGTTCAATCTCATTAACTCCTTCGAATTTCTGATGTTAAAAAACAAAGTCTTATCTCACCTCATGTATATTAAGGCAGCCTACCTGGACATGAACCGGCTCCTGAACAAACATTTTCATCAAAAGAGTCCCCGACACAAGGTTGGCCACCATAATCTGGTGGAGGGTCATCGCAGGCTCGATACCGGCGCTGTCTTCCTGTGCCACACGTCACTGAACATCCCTGCCAGGCCTCCCACTGTCCCCACTGGCCGTCCATAGGAGAGCCGATCACTGTATATAAATGTTATGGTATTCGTAAACTCGGATAATTTATACTTCGACAAAAACTTAAATATCCTTTTAAGCATATTAGAAATGCACCTTTCTTTTATTTTCCCCCGGGATATTACTGTTAATTGAAATATGCATAATAATATTTGAAATTAAAAGATGTTTAATTTAAGTTGCGAAACACTCTACAATTAGTATAATGAAGATGAATTTACATTTTTTCGGTAAATTTTTGAGAGAAATTACACAAAAAGTACAAATTATAAAATGTTAGTGATGCGAAAATTTATCGGATTCTGACGTCAATCCATTTGGAACGCCTCGCCCAGTATCGGTATTCGGAAATAATACGGATGAAAAGTAGTTCTACCCCGTGGTTTCTGATGTAAAACATAATGTCTTTTACTTGTATTGGCAATATAATGAGTACCGAATGTATTGTTTTGACGTTGTAAAAATATAATTATGCTATTTTATAATATTTAACTATTTGTCTGACAAAAAGAATAAATTCTAGAATATAACTGACCACACCCGGAAATATCGCATGAATTTACTTAAAAATTTAAGTCATCTTATATACAAGATAAGACCGTTTAGCGTAAACATGTAAGACCGAAATACCGTATCTATTAAATAAGGCTTATCCAAATGATAAATAGAAGGCGAATACATTCATTATTTACATGTATTTTTTGTATAAACAAATTCATATACACTACCGATTTCAGATAGTCAGGGATAGAAACTTTTCTGTGTATATAACCTTAAAATATATCGTAAATATTTGGCAAACATTTATTTAAAAAGAACAAGACAATATGTAATGTTTACTTACAGTAGTCACAGTTTCTGGCGGTATATTGGGGGAAACACGTGCATCTGTATGCATTGTGTAAATTTGTGCACGTGCCGTTAATGCATGGGCTACTGAGGCATTCGTCAATATCTGCAAACAAATTTTTAACTCTCAAATTCAGTAAAAACTTCATCGATATAGACAAACATTTAAAGATCCTATATGTTTTGTAATTTGTAATTATATATGTATGTAATTATGCAAATTGGTCAATTTTCAAACATGGAAGAATATGTAAAATATGTATTGCAAATATTTGTACATATTTAATCATTAAATTATATGCATTCATTTCTTATTGGAAAAATTGACTTAGAATTTATAGAAAACTAAATTCTTATTACCTCCCTTTATTTATATGAAATATTAAATTCGGTAATATCTTTACAAATAATAGTTTTTGAAACTTACAATATCGATAAATCTTAATTTGAGCATCATAACTTGTATATAAAACCATAAAAATAATGTGTTACAGGATCTTTAACTAGGTTTTACAAATTAGTTTTTTCTTTACATTAAGTGAATAAGAATTATAAGATTTAACTAATATCTGCTTTAATAATTGAATAACAACATTTTATATCTTCAACAAATCAAAAAGCTTACCTTGGTCACAGTCATACCCTTGCCAACCAGGGGTACAATCGCACGTGTACTCATTCAACAAATTGTTACACGCGGCACCATTATGGCACGGGTTGCTCGCACATTCGTCAATGTCTGAAGAAATACAAATTAGCTCAACTTATGATTCCAATGAACATTATCAGAATTATTGTAATAATTAAATGTCATGTATTATTAAATATTAGATATTTCACTGAGTTGTTTTTACTAATCGACTAGAAATCGTACCAGTTATGATATTTTTAAATTGGATTATAAATTGTATGTTTGTAACATCATAAACACATTTATGCTTCCGTTTCACTTAAATAACAAGTGTTCGTGTGACGTTGCTCAATCACAGACCTTGACAACTGTGCGCTTTCCAAAATTTGTTAAGATGACTGACTGAAGTAGAAGAAGACGAATTTTTAAGAATCTATTTGTAAGGATTTTAATAACTAAATTTAGAAGTGTTTTACCCGTGTCACAGTTAACACCTTGCCATCCAGGCACACATTCGCACTCGTAGTTGTTCTGGTTATTTAGACACGTAGCTCCATTCTGGCATGGATTGCTCGCGCATTCGTCTATGTCTAAAATAAAATCAGACAAAATATCGGTCTTTATAATCATTACTAACATGATATATATTTCAAATTTCGAAGCATCCCAAATGTTTTATTCGATGATTATTATGATTATTAATATACCATCGGGCATGAGTGATAAGTGATAGAGATTGCTTTCAAATACTTAACATTTGCTTTGATAAGAGCTGTACATTTATTTTCTGAGATTTAAATGCAGGCGTCACATCTTTTGTTCAGATCAACATATGAAAAAAATTACCGACGTCGCAATCAGTGCCTTGCCAACCTCCTGTACATGTGCACGTGTACATGTTCTGTAAGTTGTTACACGTGGCTCCATTTTTGCACGGGTCGCTCAAGCATTCATTTATATCTGAAGAAAGTGAAAAAAGTTACGTTTATAAATTGTACGTTAAGAGGTCAAAGTGTAACGTTATGCTGTGCGTCAGTTCTAACGACATACAGGAAAAAGAAACATTCAGTATTAGATAGTTTTTATATGTAAGAGAAAGAAACACAACAAACCGTCACTCATTTATTTTCATAAATCAGTATATATAACATTATAATCAAATGCGTGTTCATATGTTTCAGTATCATGTACATGTATCATTTATGCTTGACCAGTTATGAAACTAATCTGCCAAAAATAGGAAGCCATACACTGCTGCAGAAGATGTATTGTGCACATATGATACTTAAAGTGTAAGAATCATAGTAATTTCATATTATTTAATTCAGCGTGTATTATTTGCAATTTTACAATATTATAAATATTTCAAACCTTCATCACAGTTGTATCCTTGCCAACCACCCGTGCACGTACAGGAGTATTCATTCCGTCCATTGTGACAAGTGGCACCATTTTTGCACGGGTTACTCGCGCATTCATTTACATCTGAAAAGCAACATGAAACATGTTTAACATTGGCATGGTAATACTACCTGAATGCCTATATCATGTAGAAGTTTTATGACAGTGTTGTTTATCTGAATAAAAAAACTGTAATATGCTTCAATTCAAATAAGATTAGAAGTGTATAAAGCATTTGTTCCGTTAAACAGGGTGCAATTTTTTTTACACCAATCATTCTTTATTGAAGTTACCTTACAACCGCAAATTTGGATTAATTCGACTCTGGTTTAAAGTGAAAAAGTATAAATCTTAAAACACATTACCTGTGTTGCAGTCAGTGCCTGTCCATCCTCCAGTACATGTACACGTGAATCGATTCTGACCATTTGTACACGCAGCACCGTTTTTGCACGGGTCGCTCGCGCATTCATCGATATCTAGATTCAATGGAACGTAAATCTGGTACAAACATGGTAACAATCAACATTATTTTAAACAATAATCTTGCTTAAGCTGAGTAGTTATATAGTTATTTTAGCATTGGTCAAATAAATAGTCATTGTTGTGCGTGTTTGTATTAATAAGCCTAATAAAAACAGAGTTAAATGTTGATAGAAATGAAATGCATTCTGATATAATTTTCAAAAAATGTAGCAGATTCATGTTAGGTTTATGGAAGATAAAGATCACCATTTAACAAGAACTGTCAATAAGACAATGCGCTTGACTATTTTCGGTGCTTAACAGTAATAGAAAGGGGCTTAACTCTGTCTAAAAATAACATAGATTTATGGGACCCATGTTCATAATGCAAGATAATCACAGAGAACAAGAGAGTTAAGTTTCAACCCATCCCCTTCAGTTGTTCTGGAAACACCATATTGCACCTAACTGTGACGTCGACAGTGACGTCACAATGTGACAACGACACCGATGCCGATTATTAGCACAACACTCTCCGAAAAATGTAACTCGAAACGGATTATCTTAGTCACATACTATTTCAATGGAGTACTTAATTACTGTATCAGCTCAGATCAGTTCTATATTTTATGGGAATGTTTTCATTTACATTACATTCTTGATGAAACACAATCCAATTGTCCGATTGTGGTGACTAAAATGTTTGAAGCTCCGTTTATTCAGGCGCCCGACTGATGAAAAGGACAGTCATGTACATTGGAAAGTAACAAAATCATAACGAGTGTTGCAATTGGACAATTCATTTGAATGACGGTGCATGGTAATGCTCAATGACAAAATTATGCAGATATGAATATGAACTCTTCATAAAGAAAGAGAGCAAAAATTATTCATAAATAGATCATAAACAAACCTTGATCACAGTGTGTTCCAGTCCAACCTCCTGCGCACTCGCACGTGTATTGGTTTTGCTGATTGTGACACGTGGCTCCGTTTTGACATGGGTTACTCGCGCATTCATCGATGTCTGGTGAAGCAATTGATATGTCATTTTAGTTTAATAATATTTTATTGCATATACAATACATGTATTATACATTATTTCTTTAAAAGAGTGGATTGACGGGTGCATGCCCAGTATTGTACGTTTATGTACCCAATATGTACAATGTTAAATGATATCCAGAATATACCAATATTGTCCGTGTAGTCTGTAAAATATCATGCAATGGTATAATAGAAAAGAGAAAACTCTAAGACAGTCTTGTGGGGACTTCTTTACTACATTTTTATAGAAACAACGTCTTATCTTCTTCAATCAAGGGTCATTGTCGACATAAAGTTAAAAATAGTTTACCTTGGTCACAATTAGTTCCCTGCCAGCCGGCAGCGCACGTGCACGTGTACATATTTCTTCCGTTAGTGCACGTGGCACCATTCTTGCATGGGTTGCTCGCACATTCGTTTACGTCTGTGTAAATAATGATATAAATGTTTGAATATTTACGATACTAATAACAATTTTAAAGGGCAATCAAAACAGCTGATTCAAGAGGATAATGTATTATAATGTACATTTATGTGTGCTTTATTCATGTCTTATGTTTCTTTTCATTTATGTTATATAATTGTTTACTGAAGAATTCTTTCTAATGTATACGCTATTTGACAGGACATTTGACATTGTCATAAATATTTCTAAACTTTCGAAGCATTTAATGCAGCATTAACAATTGATTGGCAGAACTACTTTAAAATAGGAGCATTACTTGTAACTGAACATTTTGCGAAAGATTCTCTTTAAGTATCCCAAATTACACGTTCCATAGCGTGTTTTGTCTTTCTATACATAAACAGTAAATACATAATATATACAAAAACATTTCTACTCAATATATTACAGGATTGTGCCAAAAGCTTTTACAATATAATTGGTGTCCTTAATCTAAGGTAACACGGATGAAAAAATAAATTCTTGAATTTATATACACAGATCGATTGGAATATTCTTACATCAAACTTCAAGCACATGTAAGTCTGGCATTCTCTTCACCTAGCGTTAATAACAAAAATCTGGAAAAAAAAAATTACGTGTCATGAACAACAATGACTCACCTTTATTTTGCTATTTTTTATTTGTCATTTAGAATCTGCCAGTGAAATGCATAATAAGATTTTTTTTTACTTTGAAAAGATAATAAGAACGAAAAATGTTGTGTTGTTAGTGTTACCTTGGTCACAATTGGTTCCTTGCCATCCGCCAGTACACGTGCATGTGTATCGATTTTGAAGATTGTTGCATGTGGCTCCATTCTTGCAAGGGCTACTCGCACATTCATTGACATCTTTAAAATAGAAACGTTTAATTCTTATCAAATGTACAAAATACATGTACCAAGACCTTCAATGTTTCCTTTATTATAAGTTTAATTTCCATTGAATGCGAAAAAAAAAAAATCAAAAGAAATACAACACTTAAAATATGATATTTGTGTTTGTGGCGCTGTAATATGTTGCAACGCCGCTAAACGTTGCAATTGCTACTAAATGTCGTAACTGCCGCTTAGATATTGCGACATACATGTATAACGGTAGTACTGTGAAATTTATCGGTAAGGGAACATTATACGACATTCAACGGTAGTGTTGCGATATTTAACGGCAACATATTTTGAGACATTTAATGGCGATAACGACATTAAGCGGCAACAGTGCGACATTTAACGGCAACTGCGACATTTAGCGTCGTTGCGACATATAACGGCGCCACAGTGTTAAAGAAAATAGAAAAAATAATGAATACGTACGTATTGTTAACTTACATTGTTTCTCCTCATATTTCATGTGTATTTACACATCGAATGCTCGGTAAAGAAGACTGCCATATTTATGTAAGACATATTAATTGTCCAAATTAGAAGATGATAATTACAAAAAAAAGACTGAGAATGAATACTTCCCCAAACGTTTTTTAAAGTTCACCTGTTGTACATGTTGTTCCTGTCCAACCGGAAGCGCACGTGCACGTGAACTGATTCCGCCCGTTCGTACATTGCGCGCCATTTTTGCATGGATTACTCGCGCATTCATTCACATCTGTAAGTGAAGAAAAAAAAGATAATTGAAATTCTCATTTCATTGGTATGTTAGGAACATAAACATAGTCCACGATTAACATACAATTATGTTTCTTGTGTTATATGACAGAACTGATATTTATTTCACAAAATATGTATTCATTTCTGATATAACTTATGTTTTTAATATTAAGATAAAAGCATATTATTGAAAGAGACAGGTAAAATAGCACTGAAAACATAAGGAAACTCAATGAGATAATTATAAAAAAAATGTTTATATACAAATGTATGTTTAACATTGTTTAACTCACCAGTGTCACAATTTGTTCCCGACCATCCTGCAGTACATGTACACGTGTATCTATTTGCTCCATTCACACATGCAGCACCATTCTTGCACGGGTTACTTGCACATTCATTTACATCTAAATTGTTAAATATACTTGAAAAACATATTTTTCTCAGCAATAAGGTATACAGTTCAAAGGGACAAATTTTCAAGTTTAATACAGTTCTAAAAGTCCTGTTCCTCATTCACCTCTCGTAAATCAAGTTACGCGGGAATGTCAAAGTGGCACGTGTTTTGTGAAATAATAATGCAAAAATTTTGCAATTTATGACGGAAATAATCATCACGACACGTAAATGAAACAATATATTGTTTCGTCAGTTATTTTTACATTATATTGCCTGACTTTTTAACAGTATAGGATAAAACAAAAACATATACGAGATAAAAAATTTGAGAAATTAATTATCATATTTGGAAGGAGTTTCAAAAACTTTAAGGCACATAATGGCTCAGAAATACTTTTTTATAAAAGTTGGAATTGGCAAAATGTGTTTAAAAATGTTTTAGTAGTGGGTTTAAATTGCAGTCATGTATCTTAAAGGGATCAAACGTAAACATGGTAGTATTTTGAATTGCATACAAAATACTAATTCATTGTAATCGAAGCAAGAACTCAATATCAAAGAAAGTTGATCTAAACAGAAAATAAGTAATTTTTTGAAACTGTAACATGTCACCAAAAATAAAAAAAATATTGAGTAACAAAAACGAAACCATTTCTGATATATAATGGGCCTTTAAAGAATATACTGCTTTATATGCTAGTAATAACGCATTTCAGAGATAGTATAAAAACAGATTTTAAAAGAAAATTGACATCAATGAAATTAAAATGATATACCTGCTGTACACGTAGTACCAGTCCAACCGGAAGCACAGTTGCACGTGAAACTATTCTGACCGTTTACACACTGCGCACCATTTTTGCACGGGTTACTTGCGCATTCATTGATATCTGTAAAATAAAAGCTTATGTTCATTTTTTTTTCAATATTTTGTATTGTATTAAATTCCAGTGATGATTAATATCAATTTCAAGTCATGTTATGGGAACGTATGCAAGGTTTTAAATTAAAAACAAGACTAAGTGTTTAAGGTATTGTAAAATAAGAGACTAAAAGAATGAGAAATCAATAAAATGGATGTACATAGCATTGATGATAAAGATATGGATAAACTAATGTTAATATTTATATGTGTAAAACTTAAAATGAATAATATATCAAACAAATTGCTACATGACAATGACATCATATGTTAATATTAATATATTCATATCCCGACTTTTGACGAATTTACAAAAAAACATCAAAGTGAGTCCAAATCAAACAAACACAATTGTCTTTACTGTCATAAGAAGAAGAAGAAGAAGAAGAAGAAGAAGAAGAAGAAGAAGAAGAAGAAGAAGATGATGATGATGATGATGATGATGATGATGATAATAATGATGATGATGATGATATAATGATGATTATTATTATTATCATTATTATTATTATTATTATTATTATCATTATTATTATTATTATTATTATTATCATTATTATTATTATTATTATTATTATTATCATTATTATTAATATTATTATTATTATTATTATTATTATCATTATTATCATTATTATTATTATTATTATTATTATTATTATTATCATGATAATGATGATGATACCGATGATGAGGATTACGAAGATGAATATGATGAATAAGATGCTGATTATAGTGACAATGAGGATGATGCAGTTCTCATAATATAGAAGTTCTCTAATTCTTGTGATAATTGTTGAACGATTATAACAAATGACTGTATATACGGCCAGAATGAGACACATGTTTGAACTTTCGACTTATACATTTGAACGACTAACATAAAAATCGCAATTTAACAGCTGTATAATCCTATTATGAGATGTTATATTACCTTTGGGCTACAAGTACCTAACCTTGTGCTACTTGGTCATAGTTTACATAACTTTCACTTACTTATTTAGATTAGCCAAGTTTTGACGTTCAGGTCAAAGTTTGACAAAAAATAATTTAAAAGAATCCCTTGTCGTGAGCAATGTCTGTCCGATTAACACCTAGGATACTATTAGAAATATAACGTCACAGCCTAAAGTTGTTCCATTTATTTATTATTTAAAGTTCTATTTTCAGCTGTACTCTCTTAAAGTTATAATAGATAATAGCTCCCAAATGACTTTTAATACATGTATATATTGAGTTTCGCTGATTTTGCTACTTTACAATCTGTCAGTCCTACGCATGCGCTAAATATTTCTTCCGTTGTAATGAGTATTAATAAACATAAGAAACATATAACCTTATCGCAGGAGCGTGTACAATTGCCTTGGAATAAATGCAAAAAGTAAATTCCCTTGACCTAATAATATTTTATGACTTGCATTTATCTTTCACAATCAACAGACAGATTACAGTTTAAAAGTTGTTTGTGCCAAATATTACAGTTATAAAATAACATAAATACCTTGAACTTATAAATTCATAAGTGTAATAAGGTCAGATAAGTAACGATTAACCTATATTGACATAATCCAAATTAACCACCTGAGTAGAATAAATTTGTAAAACGCTTACTACAGACATGCAATTATAGGCTCATTATGCTTCAAAAATCCAATAATTCTTTATTCTTTAAAAATTACAAACTGAAAATATTATAATAATGTTTTGTTTTTTTATAGTTGAACAAAGTAGCACTTCTTTTGCAGCGATGCGTCGTAAAGGTGTCAAAATGTAAACAAATAAGTATTTTGAAATCCATATGTACAAAAGACTAACTCACTATACTTACACTCATTGCAAAAGCATAAAATAGTTCATGTGTATTGGCAAATGAGGTTTTTTTGGAATTTGTAAACAAAAGAAAATGTTAGCAATAATGCGGTATAAGTAATTGAAAGAGCATCGAAACAAGAGGTTATCTGATTTGTACGAGGGGGTGTAGCCCCCTAGTATTAATCAGTAGCCCCCGAGTATTAATCAGATTGCCGAGGGCTTTGATGTTCTTTCTCTTTTGTATTATAGTCAATACCCTGTTGTAATAATATGAAACCCCGGCAAAAAGGAACCAATGAACGAACATCTGAATATGATATTTCTGTCGCTTTCCCTTTCTCTGCCGTCACATTATGTAAACCCCAGCAAAAATGAGCCAATCAATGGGCATGCTCTGGAGTGCGGGTAACTAATTCCTGCACTCCAGTTAACGTACTGTGCAAGTATATGTATACGATTTAACTCTGACACAATTTCAACAGAAAGGTCCCCAAAATATGATACAATGGGTGACACAAAGCGCGGTGATAGTGAAAGGGAAACAAATAAACGAAATGTGTGCATATTTATTACGTATAGATTGATAAGTTTATTAATAAACCAAATAGAAAAAAAAGTTTGGAGGTGATATGAAACAATTTCGAATTTGCCATGCTGGGTCACAGAATATGAATCTTGTTACTATACCCACGTGCTAGGTGAGAGGCAGACGAGCTGCTCCCTGTCAGTTACATGATACCAAAAACTTCTCATTTATAAATTACCTCCACAAGTCGGCTGACTCCCACTCCAAACACCACCACTGCATGTCCGAGAGGCACTTCCGCTTGTAATTGTGTACCCGGCATTGCAGCTGTACGTGACGGTATCTCCAGGATTTGTTCCGGTAAGAGAACGTGAACCGGAAGTAATTGTCGCCGGTGTTCCACACGACAGTACTGAAATGTGGTAAATGCAACAGAAATATTCAACAAAAATCTTTTAAAGTTAGTTAACAAAATAAAGGTCAAAAGTGCAAAAAAATATCAAATTGATTTCGGTCTAAATCTGAAATTGTTTATGTACCATAAGTTAATTTCAATACGTCAAAGACCATAATTTGAATACAAAAATTCGATGTTATACATCGTACATATAATACGTACTTACATTTGGTGACTCAACCAAAAGGCGTAATTCAACATTTTAGAAGATAAATAAATTTTGTAACACTTTATACACATACATTTGCAAAAAATTAGCATAACTCTCTTTGAGCAATCTATACACCATAATAACCATCAAACTTCGCAAGTCTCTTTATAAATAACTTACTGAATTTCAGACCAATGGAGGCGCCGGCCACACCGGAAAAGCTGGTCGAGGTTTGATAGCCACCACAACCACCGAAATGAATCTCAAATTGGCTAGCGAAATATTCATCAGGAATGTAGTCTGCCGTGCTAGTAGCGGTCGCATAATCGTACCACACATGCAATAAATCTGTTTTCCCGTGCGTATAACTTCCATAGGCTTTTCTCTGACTGTTATACAACAGTGTAAAGTAACTGTTAGGGTTGCCGTCACAGTTCTGAAATGTATAATCTCTACCTTGGACTCTCCATCCTTGGGTATCATGGTAATGACTGACTCCGGACTTGGGTACGAAACCGACGTACAGATACGGGGTCATGTGACCATTCTGCATTTGATTATACCCTGAATATGAATTGTACAAGACGCCGAGATTCTTGCTCGAGTAGCGGGTGATTTGTGCCGCTGTGGCGTCATATTGCTGTCCATTCGTGCGTTTGTGTCTGATAAGAACCTCGGTCTTCTGGGTAAACAGCTGGGCTAGGTTTGGGTCCACATTTATAGTGTTTGAAATAAAAGCGTAGCCATAACCGCTTTTGAATAGGCAGTAAACTCTAAATGATTGTCCTTGAGCGTTAGCAAGTGTATAAGTGCCGCTTGACGGGGGTGAACTCGCACTCGAGTATACTTCAGCACATGTTTCTGAAACAAAGGTATATTTAACGGTAAACATCTGTTAATAGCATTACTTTATTATCATGTCTTACTTTAAGCTAGATTTAATAATTGACCTGCTAATTTTGTTAACATTAAAGTTGAACAGCTTGAGGTTAAGATCTTACATCGGACCATACGTGAATAACGATGCACGATTTAACAAATAAAGTGAAAAATAAAATATAAAATACTTGCAACGAAGACTATCTTGAAAACAACGATTGTACTATGAGCATCACTACCACCACCACCCCCCCCCCCTCCTCCCCCACTCAGCCCCTTCAGCACCCTACAACCCTCTGCGTACTTAATATACAAAAAAAAACATATTTGCATACATACTTGGACATGCAGATTTCGTACACGTGCCAGTTTCAGTAGCACTTCCAGAGCAGGTTGTTCCTCCATGAGCTGGCGTTGGATTGTTACATGACCTTGACCTTGTAACCGACCCAGTTCCACACGTGACAGGGCAACTAGAATAGCTACCCCAGTTAGACCAGCCACCATTTACTAAAAGCAATCATATTTAAATATTTAAATATTCCATTTGGAATTATGAATGATGCTTGTGATACATTTTGTAAAACATGAATCTGTTATAATAGATAGTATACTTTTTAAAAAAAGGAATGAGAATTGTTATTGTTTGTAATTTTACTACCCCCTTCACCCCCACCCCCAATGAAATGAACCATGTACAGTTTCATAGATTAATGATAAAGATTCTCTTTATTATTGCCATGTATAGTTATAAAGATTGTTGGCAGGTTAAATAGCCATATATAAATGGCTGTTTGTAAATATAATACAGAGCCGCTAGGCGAGGGTTATATTGCAAACAGCCGTTTATATACGACCATATAACCTGTCAACACTCTTTATAACGAATTTATAATACGGCAAACATCATTTTAGAGAGAGAAAAGTAAGATTTCTTCATGAATTGACAACATCCGTGTTTATAAAACACGTAAACGTCACTATTATCCAATAAAAAGCGACGTTTCAAACGTGCAGTATTATAAAGTTTTATACACACGGCTGCTGTTAATTTATGAAAGAAATCCCCCTTTTTTCTCTACAAAATATGCTTGCTTGGGTTATATTTCTGAACAACCGTTTATATAGGTTCATACAATCTGTCAAACATATTTATAACTAATAGTATAAACGTCACGTTTATCCAATTAAAAGCGATGTTACAAACTTGCAGTATTGTAAAACCCTTTCTTTGCTAGATAACTATAACGGTGCATCAGGGGTCATTAGAATTTCAGCCGATTATTCTAAGGCATATCAACCGCCAAAAAGAATCTCTATTTGAATTTGCCTTAAACAATTTTGTTCAAATGTGACGTCATACCAGCCCTCTCAAAAAGAAAGTATCCATCGCTGCCGAATCCGAAGCTGAAACGTACACCATTCATAGTGGGGATCGAACTGCACCAGTTCATAATTCTGCTTGAACCTATTGAGCTGCCCTTTCCAACCTGAAAATAAGTGTTTTTGTTTACTATTAAAACAAATAAAAGATACTGTTTCCAGTTATTATGTTTGTTTATACTTTATTCTAAAGTCATACAATATAAGTAACAGTGCATGAAAGACAAACTTTAAAATGATTTGTTGATTTTGTTTGACGTTTATTTGTTTATTTTATTATTATTATTATTATCATTATTACATTGTATTGTTATACTAATTGTTATTGTTGTTATTATTATTTTTATTATTACCTTAATTATTATTATTATTATTATTATTATTATTATTATTATTATTATTATTATTATTATCATCATCATATCATAGATCATATATTATATATCATATTTTATTATTATTATTATTATTATTATTATTATTATTATTATTATTATTATTATTATTATTATTATCTCATCATATCATAGATCATATATTATATATCATATTTTATTATTATTATTATTATTATTATTATTATTATCATATATCATATGTCATATATCAGATATTATTATTATTATTATTATTATTATTATTATTATTATTAATATTATTATCATTTCTATTCATTTATTTATTTATTTACGTTTGGATTAATGCAACGATACTGTTTCATTGAGTTGTGTTTGAAATTTGTCTGTCTACGTTAATAAAGTTCAGTTATCATTAAAGTTTGTAGCTTTTATAGTCCTTACCCAGGTATGTTAATAAAACCGGAAACGTGGTCATGAGTTCTTAGGGCTCGAACCCATGATCGCTTGGTACAGATGTATTATTTTCAATATAAAGACATATTTACCTGTACACATCCGCCGCCCCACGAGATCCAGAACCAACGATAAGAGCTTGAGCTTAGGACTGAACCCTGAAAAACAGATAGAAATAAGTATTGAACATTCTGAAACATACGGTGGCACAAAGGTGACATGTGTGTTTTTATTAATCTGGTGGCCACGAGATACTATGTCGTGACCACGAGTTACTCAGTTTTTATTTTTTCTCTTCATATTAATAACTACTAGCCAATCGTTGAAAAACTTGGCATTTTCTCCTTTTTTACAGTTAACCATATGTTTTAAAATAATCAGAAATCGCGAAGCATATTTAACCAATGTTAATTTAGCTTCAAGTTTAAATAGTTTAACTACAATAACTACCAGATAAATCTTAGTTTTGTTTAAATATATATCTTTGTACTTGATTTGTTAACAGTTTCTAGCAACATTCAAGGCCTAGATCGCTTGCAGTCACATATGAAGAAACGTGTTAGAATGTCTCGAACCTACTATCTCCGAAACAGGCACCCTAAACTCAATTCCTAACCTCTCCAACATATATCAACATATATCTTAGTGAAAAAGGAAACTTATCGAATACTGCCCTCTATTGGTTAGGGGTGTCATTGATAAGGATTTTTGTATCGATATATCGATAAGGAATTATCGGCGATACAGCGATATATCGATTGCTAGGCAAAATTTAGCTTTCAATGTTTCCTAAGGACACTTACTATGTAGAGTTATATTTAAACATATGCATGTTGTGAAGAAAACATGTGATAAAGCAAAAAAGATAAATAAACTATGAAAACTATACAATTTGTTTCTTTTAATTATTATAACTTATAATAACTATGGTAACTAATGACTAGTAATTATCAACTGTTAACCACTTTCAAATTACCAAACAGTACTGCCACCCTTATGTTTAAATGTCAATGGATTATTTAGCAGGATTATGGAATTAAAAGACACACATGACTAGAGTTAACTCAGTTAAGTAATTATCTGCTAAGTATTACTCAATAACTGACATTAACTGTCAACATTGTCAACATTTGACTTAAACATCTTGTAGTAACAATGCAGTCTAGCACTTTATATGATAAACACTGAAACAGTAAACAAGGAACTGGCAAATCAAAACTGTTAGTCTGTTACTGCAATAGCATCACTTTTTGTAATTATGATACAGGAATATTAGCATGTCAACATTATCAGCTGTGAGCTGGCCTCTTTTCTTATTCAAAATATTTCCAGCTGTGGAGAAAACTCTTTCGCTAGGAACACTAGTAGCAGGAATGTGTAAATATTTACAAGCACAAATTGAAAGGTTAGGATAAATTTCTCTCTTTATTTTCCACCATTCAATAGGATCTTGCTTCATGGACACTGTTTCTGTTTTATATCTCTCTATTTCTGCTTTCATTACAGTTTGGTTTGATTCTGAACTTTTCTCCTCTTTTATAAACAGAACATCAAAGAAATCATCATCTGAAGCATCTAACTTTGGTTTTTTCACCAGATTAAGATTTTCATCCTTTACCTCTACTACATCTGCATTTGGGTTTTCAGATTGAACTGACTCAGGGCTTTGAGCTACACTTTCAATTATATCAGTGTCAAATTCTGTCTTGACCTTTACTTTATCAAGTTCTTGAGACATTTCAGTCATCAAAGTATTAAAGACAACTTCCTGTTAATCACTGATCCATACCATGTTCTTGAATCTAGGATCAAGCACTGTTGCCATTGCAAGAAGTTTCCTCACATCTTCTGACTGATACCTTTTCATCAGATCTGTTTTTATAGCATCTTTTGCTTTCTTTATCAGAGGGCTATCAGTAGTCTTTGATACAAAGTCGTGTTTGATAAACCGTTCCATCATAGGCAGAATCAAACTTGCTGTTGCAGATTTTTCAGCAGATACTCTTATAGTTGCTTCTTCTACTGGACTAAGCAAATCTTTTAAATCTTCCATGTTTTTCCTATCTATATCACTTGGCAACAGGTGTGAATACTTCTTATCTTTATATAATGCTGTCCAAATGGCAGGCATAGTCTCTAAAAGTATTTTAATCATCGCAAGTGCAGAGTTCCATCTGGTATCTACATCTTGGATAACCTGCAGCTGTTTCAAATCAAGTGAAATTTGAGCTTCATGAAGGGCACTTGTTTTAAGACAGCTTTGTTTAAACACAGATACTAACTTTCTACACTTCCCAATCAAGGCACTTACTTCATTAACTGCAAGGCATCTGTTAACTGCTAAATTCAATGTGTGTCCAAAACATCCCACGTGTGGTAATTCAGCGACATTGCATGCATTTACAATATTCGCAGCATTGTCGGTTACACTGACCGGATCTTGCAGGTTCCATTTGTTAATACAAACTTTCATTTCCTGGGCAAGATTCTCAGATGTATGACTGATATGAACGCACTTTGTGTCAAGAACTTTAGAACAAAGCTGAAAAGTATTTGTGTCTATGTAGTGACATGTTGTCGTAATATAACTTTCAGCATTAATTGATGTCCAACCATCTGTTGTAAAAGCATGCCGCATACCCTTCTCTAGATCTCTTTTGACTTGACCAACAGTATTATGATACATAAGCACAATGTTTTTCTCAAGCAAATGATTTCTTGATACAATATTATAGTGGGGTTCCAGTTCCTTAATCCTTCACCTTCAACTGTAGTTAATGGCTGGCTTCATATCCGTTACTATATATTCAGCAATTCCTTGAGAAATTGTTGTTGCTTGACTAGAATTGAGAGTAAATGGTTTCTGTTTGTTAAAAAGACTAGGAACTGTTGTTTGTTCAAGTTGTTTGGATGTAATTTGAACCGTTACTTGATCTTTCTGGTCTGATAATTGCGTTGATGGTAGACTTGGTAGTGAAGGAAAATCAGACTTCATAGAGACATGACTGCTGGTATACCTACTGGTACTGACTGTCACAGAATCATTGCTCACTTGAACCTGAAAAGATAAAATACAAAAATATTATAGTGTTGAAATATTTTTTGATTTACATCATGCATTAAACATCAAGTGATATGGTTATTCTATCTATTCAAAAAAAATTAGATCAAAACATTGAAAGCTTTGTTGCTTTTTTTCATTACTACAAATAGAACAACAATACATTTCTTATGAGTTTTTAAAATATCCAAGGGTCAGCCACATGACCTTTCTATTTTATTTATTGTGAAAAATCAGTTAAAATGTTTATCATAACCAGTGTCTATTCTAGGAGGGGGGATGGGGAGATTCACTCCTATTTTTGAGAATAAATTCTCACTTTTCGATTAAAAATCCCCCTCCCCCTGTTTTTCAAATCCCAGAATAGACACTGCATAACAGCTTAATAATCTCAGATGATTAACGAAAATGAATTGTACATTACCGATGGGCGATGAACGACTGACCAGTGTTTTCTATCTAAATGGCTTCGCAGGTTGGTAGTATTACCGCTGTAGGGAAGGATTTTGTTGCAAATATTGCAATTTACTTGGGTCTTTCCCGCAAACGTGAAGTGATTCCACACGTCGCTTGTTTTCTTTCTTAAAGCCATGATTTTGTTGTTGTTGTTGTTGTTATTATTACGTAGTTAAGGTTTAGGCTAAATGCCGTCCTTTACGTTCCAACTAACCGGGGGTTTAATTGGCAAATTATAGTGTTTAAAACTTGAATATTTATTAAAGTTTAACATTTTGTAATCAAAATTTGCACAAAGAAACACTAACTAAAAATTTCTTGGCATTTTTCTATTATAAATTCTGAATTCGGGGTCTTTCCTACGCCTTAGTAGACATGCGAGATCACAACGAAATTCGGCAGCATTCGTCACATACACGGGGAGGTAATTTTGGCGTTGATTTCCGTTTTCGTTTTGGATTTTTTTTTTTTGAAAACTGTTTGCATTCGATACCCGATATTTCAAAAATGGAATCGATATCGAATCGGATTGCAAAGATCGTTGATACACCGATATCGATTGAATCGATTACACCCCTACTATTGGTTCCTTTATTGGTATTTCAGATTACAGATTAGGAGTAACCAATATTTGGAGTTACAAATATTTGAAGTTACCAATATTTGGAGTTACCAATATATACCAGTTGCATTTCTATAAAGTTTATTAAGCATAATTCGATTCGTATGAATTTGAAATATACCTTCGCGATAAATCATCGGTAGTAAACGGAAATACAAAACTCACCGAATAGCTCACTCTGTTAGTTCCTTGCTGACTATTTCTGATCACAGATTGGCTGTTACCCCACCCACCAATAACAATTTCAATAACATTGGTTCTGTAATTGTTACGGTCGTTCTGTAGCAACACGTGCGCATCGTTTCTACCTGTTAAATAAAGTTTAGTTATTTTACTTAAAAAGCAACATGTTTCTTTCAGTCAACCTAACCCGCTTTTCTAGATGACCAGTGTCTGTGCAGGTAACAGACTACTTATACATGTGGCAATTAGACTTACAATCGCAACTCTCCGGCCCTTTCCGTCAGTCTTCGGATTATAGAAAATTGTTAGATTGTTAAACTTTATGTATCACGGAGAAATTTAACCTTGGCCGATGCTGTCACCAACGACCCCTGGATATTAAATTAGTACAGATATTTACAAATATTTGGCAAATTGATCTTTAATACATCAAATGATTATATTGACAGCTAAATTAGTATCAGGCATTACAACAAATAACGAAAGAATCATACATGGGCGTTGTTGTCAAGTGTTCGATACATAGTCCAATATTAAATATATTTGAATAGCAACAAATAAATTGTTCCAGTATAAAATTTTTCATTATATTTCTTTATCATATTTTCAAATTCGTAGCTCATTCTTTATCAAAGTCCTTACCAAGTTTATAAAAAAATATAAATATAATGTAATATAATAATATATCTAATGTTTTTAACAATATTTAAGATACTTATTAGAAATGTGCCCATTATAGACCAATCCGCTTTATATGTACAATAAAACACATATCCTACCTTTGACCTGGAAGGTCAAGGACGTCCTTGTGTTGACTCGAATTCCGTCGGCATAGGGATCATGGCGAGTGTAGTCGTAAGCATTTGGGCAGTAGTACGTCACACCTACGTAAGACAAATGAGCTTAATGAGGAGTTATCTTAAAGGAATTCACTGAGGTTTATAAGACTAATACATAAAATTTGATTTCTTTCAAATAGATCAACATGAGCACTTAAAACAGAAAAATAAATAAAATATAACCAAGAAATATACAAGAAATACATGTGTACATTGAAAATCGTATGTTTTTGCTATTCTCTGTCCGACTTGAGTGAAAAGCGTTTAAACGGTTTTCAATTTTGGGTCATTCTTACTATTATAAAAAGTATAATGTAAAAACGGAGCTTGCTAATGATCTGTAATTTTGCACATAAGTTATTAGTATAGATCTACATCAAAACGAGTAATAATCTCAAAAAAAAAAAACATTCCATTCCCGTCATGTAAAAAGAACCTCAGTGGAGTCCCTTTAAAAAGGAATATTTATATATCCATATCATGAATTTTATTAAATAATCTTTCCTTAATGCAATTTGTTAAAATTTGCTCCATTAAAAAACCTCATTGTTTTTACTTCACTGTTGAAACTCATTGCTTACACACGCTCAATATTAAAAACTTTTATCAGTTACTTAAAGAAAAAAAAGAAGAAAAAAGTTTTGTTTTTGTTAAAAAATATGTTTAAAACTTGTCTTCCTCAGATAACTTAATCCTCCAAGAAATAAGTATTTATGAGCTCATGATTGTTCTTATATTTTCATTTTATACATGTATATAAAACTAACAAAAACTTTTAAGCCTTACAAGATCAAAATATTTTTAAAAAAACATAATATATGTTAAAATTGTCATATCTTGTTCTAGTACATATGAACAATGTATATACTGTGTACATTGTAAATATTGGAAAACAACTTTTAACAGTTTATTACTTAAAGGGCATACATACATTTTGATGATTAAAATTCATAAACAATAGTGAAAGAAGTTAGAATACCTTTGCAGGGTGTCAGTGATAATCCGAGCACCAGCAGGACAATCCAGCACCTCCCACAATTCATTGCGACGGACTCAAACCGACAAACCTTTAATGAAAGTATTAGAAATACTTTAATTTTGCTATACCAATAATTTTTCCATTTATATTCAAATTATGTACCATCACATAAAATCTTCATAAAGACCCATTAACTTCAATAGGACAATCTTTTTTTAGATATTTCAAAACCTTTATTTTTGGTCTTCTGTTTCAAAGCTACTCAATGACCATATATGAGCCGTGTCACTACAAAACAAACATAGTGCGTTTGCGACCACCATGGATCCAGACCAGCCTGCGCATCTGCGCAGTCTGATCAGGATCTATGCTGTTTGCTATCAGTTTCTCTACTTGTAAAAGGATTTGTAAGCGAACAGCATGGATCCTGATCACACTGCGCGGATGCGCAGGCTTGTCTGGACCGATGCTGGTTTCAAACACTTTATATTGGTCTTGTCATGACACGGCTCATATATACTAGAGACATTTGTTAGTTTCTTTTAAGTATACTTCTAGTGATTAAACCACTTAGTTTGGAAGTCAAAATATATCACCTTTTTCAATGTTCGCTACCGTTATCACAAGTAATTTCAAAATCAACGCTTATTTCATAAAGTGATAAAGAATCTTACATGTTCTCAATCTACTATTAAAACTTTATTAATCACATGTTTGTCCTTTATACACATTTCTGAGGCATAGTACGCTTTTACATAAAACAAAAATGTTATATTTCCAAAATTAAATAAAACGTTTCTTCTGAATTTTATGTTATGAGAAAGAAATTCATTTACAAAACAAATATGACAACACTGTAAAACAGTATACAAAACAAAAGTATACAATTATACTGAAAACTAAAAAAAAATATGAAATTAATAAAAAATTGTACAATTGGACATACATTGTATTGTTATTTTCTCTCTAAATATCTAAAGATTAACTATTTAAATTACATAAATATGTGTATTTGTTCTATAATACAAATTGAGTAATATTTACGAAAATATATATAAGATTTATCTATAATAGTAATTAACTTAATTATACTAAAGATATACTACCAGTGGAAAAGTAACTCCGTGCGCCTTGGGTGTGTGACTGACTATTGGTATATAATTAAATTGTCCTTACCTTGAAACTCTTTTAAGGCCAATCTGTCATATATAATAGGCTTAACTTACTTTCAACTGGATTACAAGTTAATATAATACTAAGAAGAATCTGAACATATTTTAGTGCCAAAAAATCTACATTTTACCGTACTGATATGTCGCACTCTTATGATCGTCAAACTTTGGACTGATTATTTAAGTTAGCTAACCTTAAGCTTATTAGTGATATTTGGTCACAAGTGCCAAAGTATTTAAACGCATAGGACACTTAAACAATTAAATTTTTATTTGTTTTTATTCAGACTACGAAAATATAAAATCATTAACATATTTCTACAAAACAGTCGCGCAAAAAATATATATATATTGTTACAAGCCAGGCGTAACTAGAAAGAAAAGCCAGCAACAAACTTGTTACAATATAACAAATTTATTACAGAAAAAATATTAAAGAAAAATAAAATAACAAATAACTTTTACAAATACCTGAAGTCCAAATAAAAGTGAAAATCTTAAATGTCTAGTCTGATCCTGGAATGATCCTTTTTTGAATAACACAGTTAAATCCAAGTTAAATCCAAGAACACTTTAGAATAAATTCCCACAATAAAATCCACAAGAATAATTTATTTTAAAATCCAAGCTCCAATAATTCACTTAATATCCAATTTGAATAATACTCCAAATATATTGATGACTTAAAAAGTAACTGATGACTTAAAAACATCACTGATGACTTAAAAGGTAAAGGTAATGAAAAATGTCAATTTATATATATTGACTAAGAAAATTCCAGAAAGGTCTTTTATGTTCTCAAGTAATCATAATCTAGCAACTTCAACAATAAAGAACATTCCAGAAGTTTCTATCTAAATATAATGCATGAGTTTTCCTACAACAGTTAAGAAAGTTCTAGTACATACATGTAGTTAATGTTCTAAAAAAAGAACAATGATAATATTGGAAATACAAACTGGTTATATATAAATTATATACATGTAATAAGTTGAATACATAACACTTCCCCTCTTCAAGAAAAAGAAATATTAATGAAATGAATATTTTCTTTTACATAAATTCAAACAATGTAAACTTACAAATAACATAGGAGAAATGTTAAACAATTTTTGTATACATTCATATATATGTGTATTACAAACAATAGCAAACAACAAAAAAAACATAACCAATCATATCATATAAATGCTATTACAAACAATAGCAAATGACAACAAAAAAATAATCAATCATATCATATACATGTAATTGTTAAATTTTTAAAATACTGCAAATAACAAGTTTAAGACACGTGAAAGTGCATCAGGGATCAAATTTATCTTTCCCTTTTAATGTGTCTAATGTCAAGACTATATTCATGCAAAAATAAGCTCCACCTCAACAACCTTTGATTTTTGTTTTAAAGTTTTTGCAAGAAAGTGAGGGTGATCACTAAAGACAACAACAGGTAACTTTGAAGAAGTTAGATAAACTTCAAAAAAATGCTGAATAGCAAGAATAAGAGCAAGGCACTCTTTCTCTATAGTAGAGTAATTTTTTCTGATGTTCATTAAACTTTTATGAAAAGTAACAAACAGGATGGTCAACACCATTGTTGTCTTCTTTGATCAAAACACTTCCAGCACCTATGTCACTAGCATCTACAGGTAACTTAAAGTTTTTATTTAAATCTGGTGCCAAGAGAACTGGTGCACTCTTAAGTATGGCTTTCAGGCTGTCAAATGCCATTTGACACTTGTCATTCCAAATGAATTTGTTTTCTTTTCTTTAGCAAATTTGTCAATGGTTCTGCAATAACCGAAAAATTATTACAAAATTTACGATAATACCCTGCCATACCTAGAAATCGCATCAGTTGTCTGTCTTTTACAAGTAGGCACAGGAAATTCAGAGATAGCTTTGACCTTAGCTTCTATTGGTTTAACTTTACCCTGTCCCACTACATGTCCTAAAAAAGTTAAAATTGCATGACAAAATTCACTTTTTGCAAGATTAACTGTCATTTTAGCATCACTTAGTCGGTCGAAGAATGCTCTTATAGTTGTGAGATGTTCCTCCCATTCATCAGAGTAGATGATTGTGTCATCAATGTATGCGTCACATCCGTGTAGACCAGATATTACCATGTTTATAAGCCTCTGAAAAGTTGCTGGTGAGTTTTTCATACCAAATAGCATGACTTTATATTGATATAAGCCGTCTGGTGTTTACAAAGGCTGATATTTCTTTAGCTCTATCAGTAAGTGGAACTTGCCAGAATCCTTTTAGAAGATCAAACTTTGTTACATACTTTGCTTTTCCAATTTTGTCAATACAGTCATCAATTCTTGGTTTAGGAAATGAATCAGTTTTTGTTACAGAGTTCACTTTACGATAATCTGTACACATTCTATATGTTCCATTTGATTTCGGTACAAGAATACATGGAGAGCTGTAACTGCTTTGACTTGGTTCAATAAAGTCATTATCCAATAAATACTGAACTTCTTGTCTTAGGTACTTTTGTTTTATAGGATTCGTTCTATATAGATGTTGTTTTATTGGTTCAGAGTTTTCAAGAATGACGTCATGATGTATTTTGTCAGTCCGTGTGGGAATATCAGGAAATAAGTGTTCATATTCATAAATAAGCTGTTTCAGTTCATCTCGTTTCGACGGTTCTAAGTGAGCAAGTTTTTCATCCAGATTTTTCAGAATATCAGAGTTTTCATGCTTTGCTGAACCAGGATCAGACTTTTCAAAATTTTCATAACTATAAGATTCAACTGAACATTGATTTTGTGGAACAGAGTTTACAAAAGATATAGGTTTACTAATTTTGCTATCTCTGTCAAAATATTCTTTTAACATATTTATGTGACACATTTGTTTTTGCTTTCGCCTCCCAGGAGTATTAATAAAATAATTAAGGTCACTGACTTTCTTCTCAATAGTATAAGGACCAAAGTATCTTGCCTGTAATGGTTTTCCAGGTATAGGTAATAGAGCAAGTACTCAATCACCAGGGTTAAAACTCCTTTTTCTGAGCATTCTCATCATACCTTGATTTCATTTTGCTTTGTGTTGATTTTAACCGCTAGCTAGCTCACATGCATTAGTCAACCTATTTTCGAAAATCTGATACATACTGAAGCAAAATTAAAGATATGTCATCTTCAGACAGGAATTTCTCTTTTAGAAGTTTTAAGGGTCCTCTGACAGTGTGACCAATACTAATTCAAAAGGGCTGAAGCCAAGAGATTCCTGAACAGATTCTCTTACAAGCAAATAACAATAAAATGGATGCCTTCATCCCAGTTCTTTTTCAGTGTCAAAACAATATGACCTAATCATATTTTTCAGAGTCTGGTGAAATCTTTCCTAATGCACCTTGACTTTCAGGGTGATAGGCTGAAGACCTATATTTGAGTAATTCCTAACTCGTGCATGACCTGCTGGAAAATAACCAGACATAAAGTTTGACCCCTTGATCAGACTGTAACTGACTTAGGTAAACCAACAAATGTGAAAAACTTCACAAGAGCCTTGACAATAGTTTTGGCTTTTATATCACTTAAAGGAATAGCTTCAGGGAAGCGCGTAGAAGCACACATAATAGTTAATAAGTACTGAGAACCTGATTTAGTTTTTGATAACGGACCTACACAGTCAATAATAACTCTACTAAAAGGTTCATCAAATGCAGGAATAGGCTGTAACTGTGCTTTAGATCTGCGGATGTTTCTAAATTCAAAATTTAACCTTTTCATGTTTAAATGTTGAATTCTGCTTAAGCCGGTGCTAGGGGGCGTGGACGGTAACTTGCACTTTCCAGTACCGTCCATGAACAGGCTCAATCAAACCGAGCCTGCAACATTTTCAATTTTGCCGTGTTGGGCTTTCTTTAGGGATTCTGTTTTTATCGATTTTAGGTATTGTCTGGTTAGGTTTTCCAACCATCTGACAAGTATGACAAGATTTACAGTACCTAGAT